AGGCCTGGGAAAGATTTCGTAGATATCCCACTTCGCACAACCTTGTGGAGTTTAAACGCCGAAAAGCCAAGGCTCGTTGGACTAGGAAGCGGGCAAAACGGAAGTCTTGGATGAAGTACTTGTCTTCTCTAACTAGTTTTGTCCCTGCCAAAGAGGCCTGGGACAGATATAGGAAAGTAAATGGGGATTATAGGTGCTTTGCCATCCCAACGTTTAATGCTCCTTGTTCGTCATTAAAAGACATTGCTAACGTCCTCGGAGAACATTTTTATAATTCATCCAGCTCAGCCAACTACAGTGCTAACTTCACACAGTTTAAAGCCCGTGCGGAGCAACAAAAGCTAGTCGTAACTGGAGGAAAGGCAGCCTCTTATAATCGGCCATTTACGCGATATGAACTTGAGATGGCCCTTAATGTAAAAAAGCTATCTGCTCCTGGGCCCGATGGGCTTCACTATGAAATGCTTCGTAACCTGTCCACGGAATCCCTTGAAAACCTTCTTCTTTTTTTTAATTCCTTATGGGAAAATGCTTGTTTTCCTCAGGCTTGGAGGCATGCATATATTATTCCCCTTCTAAAACCTAATAAAGATCCTTCACAGCCATCAAGTTACCGCCCAATCGCACTAACGAGCTGCCTCGGAAAAACATTTGAAAGGCTGATAAGCAGGCGACTGGTTTATGTATTAGAACAGCAGAGGGCCTTTGATAACAACCAGTGTGGATTCCGCCGAGGTCGTTCTACTCTCGATCACTTGGTACGCTTGGAAACTGTTATACGTGAGGCATTTGTAAACCGGCAGCACTGTGTCGCAGTTTTTTTCGATTTGGAGAAGGCATATGATACAGCGTGGAGACATGGGATTCTTCAAGATCTGTATGCATGTAATATCCGTGGCCGTATGCTGCAATGCATAAGGGAATATCTAACAAACAGGACTTTTCAAGTTCGTCTTGGCTCCAACCTATCTGATTCCTACGTGCAAGAAAATGGAGTCCCTCAAGGAGGGGAGTCTTGAGCGTAACTTTATTTGTGCTAAAAATGAATTCAATTGCACGACTGCTACCTCCTTCTGTTTCATATTCTCTTTACGCTGATGATATACAGATCTCGTCTTCCTCTTGTAACCTTTCCAGCTGTGAGCGCCAGTTGCAGATAGCCATAAACAAACTTTCCAAGTGGGCTGATGAGAACGGGTTTCGGTTCTCTGCATCCAAAACAGTCTGTGTGCCCTTTTCTTTGCGTCGTGGGCTGTCATTGGACCCATCACTGGAACTAAATGGAAACCCTGTACCTGTCAGGAAAGAGCACAGATTTCTTGGTGTGATATTTGATAAAAAGCTTAATTTTATTTCACACCTGAAAGCTTTAAAAACTAAATGTCTTCAGTCTATGAATCTTTTGAAAGTTCTATCTCATAAGTCATGGGGTTCTGACAGAAAATGTATTCTACGGTTGTACAATGCTCTTGTAAGATCTCGTCTTGACTATGGTGCGGCAGTGTATGGATCGGCCCGGCCATCTGCCCTCAGAATGTTGGACCCAGTTCACCACCTGGGGTTGAGACTAGCAACTGGTGCCTTCCGAACATCCCCTGTCTCCAGTTTATATGCAGAAGCTAATGAGCTATCACTGAACAAACGACGAACTTATCTTAGCCTAACGTATGCTTTTAAGATTCTGGCTGACCCTCAACACCCTACTTATTCTTCCCTTACAAGGTCGAGATTTTCCCGTCTCTTTAACAACAAGCCAAGCATTGTGACACCATTAAGCTCCCGCATTGAAGAACTTTGCACTTCACTGCATCTTTCATTGGACCAGGTCGGCCTCATTCGAAATGTCGACGACCGTATTCCACCCTGGAAGACACTGCCAGTTGCCTGTGACTGGTCGCTCACAAAATTTAACAAACATGGCATTTCCCATGCTGTAATACTGCAAGAGTTTTGTGAAGTACAAATCAACTATGATGGTTATCTTCACGTTTACACAGATGGCGCCAAGACTTCATCCTTCGTTGGCTGCGCTGTGTATTCAGAACGCTTCTCTAAAGTTAAGCGACTTAATTCATTTGCTAGCATTTTTACTGCAGAAATCTATGCAGTATCAATGGCAATAGACTACATTCTACATAAGAAAATAACTAGGGCTGTTCTTTTTGTTGATTCTCAAAGTGTGATTGTTGCAGTTTGCTCTGTTAAAGACACTAAAAACATGCTTGTACAACAAATTCAGAGTAAACTCAACGCTGCTCTACATGATGGTCAAAGCATAACATTTTGTTGGGTACCTAGTCACGTTGGCATAGAAGGCAACGAGAAGGCCGACAGGCTTGCAGGGTCTGTGGGAAACCTTGTCCAATCGTCTTTCTGTTTACCATATCAGGATATAAAGCCTTTAGTAAAGTCATCACTTTTCCGTTGTTGGCAGTTGGAATGGGACAGGGAGTGCGAAAACAAGCTCCACGTTACAAAGCCTGTTCTTGGAGCTTGGGAAAGCTCTTCATGCAAGAGTCGTCTTTATGAAACCTTGCTGTGCCGTCTGAGAATTGGGCATTCTTTCATCACTCATAAGTACCTACTTTGGGGGGAAGATCCTCCTATTTGTGATCAGTGTGGTGATTCTCTCACAATCTTGCATATCTTGTGGTCCTGTCCCGCTCTGGAGCCCAAGCATCGTATTTATTTTCCCGAGTTGTTTCAACAACAGATCCCGTTTCATCCGGCCCTCCTGCTGGGGGAGAATCCCATAGTCCCTTTTAGCAGGGTAATAGACTTTCTTAGTAGCGTTGGCATTTTATACCAAATATAGCTTTACCAAATCCTAGGTTGCACTTTGTTAAAACTCTCACCAAAGCATGCTGATTGTCACTATCGTTTGGCGCAGATGGCCTCGTAGCTCTTGCGCCATTAAACCCCCAAAATCAATCAGCTCTACTAATAGTTTTCTGTATTCTCGGCCCGAGCTATCTAGTAGGCCTCGTTGTCCCGCTGCTCGTATCGTCCGCTTCGGCACTTTGGTTTTCCTCCTCTCGATTTTCCTTATAACCATAATTGTCTAGCTTTTATTCCTCTACTTTATATTTTATCTTCCATATAATACTGCATTGCTAGCTATACTGTATATATTTAATATATTTTTGTACATATATACATATTTATATCGCTCTCACGTCGTGCGATACGTCGAACGACGGACTAAGGAGTCGCCGCGCTTCCACTGGAGCGTTGAAGCGACCTGGGCGCTAATACGACTTCGCAAGGAGCCTTTCCTCCAGGCAGTCAGCGTCTCGTTGGGCAGATTGAACGTCGGAACTGATAGTCGTCAAAGCATCCATGATCGACAGCAAAGAACCATTCATCGATGTCGAAGCACCTTCATGGTAGGGCGCGCAGGGACATCAGGAACGCGATGCGAGACGCGGGGTCTATCGTAGCCGGATCAATATTGGGAGGAAGATCCATCGAGGGAACAGACGTGGACGCGTGCGATGAAATTTAAGCGTGAGCACGACGCAGAATTGAGCAGGGAAAACGCGTAGCTGCGTAGCAGAAGCACAGAAAAGAAGCTGGAGCGGGAAACGATCAGGGTAACCGCCAATTGCAAAAAAAAAAAAAAAAACTACGTTTGCGTTTAAAGTGGATTTTGTTGTAATAACTCGACTGACCTCGTCACGGGTTTTAGTTCAGCTGGTCACATACTGTTGGAAATCGGGTCAACTGAACACGGAAAAACGAGGACACGAAGGAAAGGACTGGACAAACACACTGCTGTGTTTGTCCAGTCCTTTCGTTGGGGGATCGGTGGCCGAGTGGTCTAGCGCACACCAGCTCGGAGCACGTGGAGCGAAAGCTCGCGCTGCAGAACCCAGGGATCCTGGGTTCGAGCCCCACCCCTGCCCGTTTCGATCTGGATGAGCATCGTACCGGCGTGCGGTCGTGCACCACTACTGCGTGATGCACGTTAAAGACCCCAGGCTAGCGGCTGTACCGCACTGGCTAAATTTCTCATCTACAGCTGGGAGACTCGTCGCCCCTGTGAGGCAGACCAAGTTCTAGGCTGTATAAACACACACACAACCCAATTTTTTTTTTCTCCAGTCCTTTCCTTCGTGTCCTCGTGTTTTCCTGTTCAGCTGACTGGATTACCCACTGAAATCGTCCTTTTGTCTTTTTTAATATTGCGTTTACTTAAGAAAAACTTCAAAAATTATTTATATCGCGAAAATATTATTTTTTTTAGCGTGAACGTGCTTTAACGTTTACTTGCGCTCTCTGGCACGGCAGAACTTAAAGGTCATTTGAAGATCCTAAATGCCTTAGGCGTAAAGGTAATTTTAGGTGCCTGTCTGACAGAGGTATCAGAAATATAACAAGTACGTTAGTCCGTTACTGAAATTTCTAACGCTTACCAAATAACGTCGCTACTTGCAACGCGTTACTTCCAACAATGATGGCGGCATCCAGCCCTCCCAATTCAAAGGGGAAAACCCCGAAGTCGTGCGCCTCCAGCCGTTACAACCACGCAAAAGCTGTCGGCGCCAAGGCCATTTGCTTTGATTTTTTGCGGAGTAAGACGTATTCCCTGGTATAGTATTGGATGCAGAGCAATGCAGGGAAGATTGCAGACAATCGACGCTTTTGCCTCCTCCACGCAGCTTGTATCGGAAACGCAGCCCATAAACCACGTGACCTCGATCAACCAGTCGGAGACACTCTCAAATATAGGCACACTGATTACGCAGCAATTAAAGACCGCGCGTCTCAGCGAACTGCCTGTGTTAGTAGCGCTTGTCATATGTTAGTATGCGCTCAACTGTGACCTAACAATTGCTAGCGCAAATCTTTCATCCTGCTGCCACTCCAGATGTGACTGTAGTCATCAAAGATTGTTGGCAAATTCTTTGCATAAAGCAGAAAACTGGACTGGCCGTTGGTTGGCTCTTTTATATAGCTTAAAATGTCAGCCATTTTTCTTTTTGTATGTCACGTGACAGATTTATCACGAGAACCTGCGAAAAAGACTATCACTATAAGGGTCTGAAGATTCCTAGCGGGATGACTATTTTGATTCCGGTGCACCAACTGCACTACGACCTCAACCTCTGGAACCAACCTGAAGCCTTTGACCCGGACAGGTAAGAAGCTGACCAAGTATCTTAAAAGCAGCCAGCACACACAGACACACAAACAAAAGATGCAATGGTTTAGAGGATTTTTTACGCGTCAGTCCCGATCGGAGATTTTATTTTTAACAGAGCTTGGAACGTTTACTTAACATACTGGAGAGATTCGTGTGTTTGCTTGTTTATTTACCAATGATGCCCACCAACTGCAAAGTGTGGTGCATTGCAGCACCGACAAGAAAAGGCGCATGAAATTTTCTAATGTACAGAAAAATACTGAAGAGTGTGAAGCATGCCCTATGATTGTTCCGGCATCATTAAGCTCTTAAAATTAAGAGGCATTAACATGTTAATTGCAAATGACGGAGAACTATTAAATAAGTCGTCGATTCGGGTGCGAGTCCAGAGTTTGGAACGTTTATTAAGATAGCACAGTCCCATAAACGCATGCACACAAAAGTCGTTTAAATGTTTGTTCGAAAAGAAAAAAAAATCATGTCTTTTTTTGGAAACTGGGCCTATAGTATACCTAATTAGGCTTCGGTTAATGGCCGCTAAGTTGCTACTTTTGCGGTGCTTGGCTTAGACACGCATTCTTGTTGAAATCTTGAGGCAAAGTTGCTTTCAGGACTGCACGTATGTGTCCTCTCCAAGTTCAAAGTGGAGCTCAACGCTCTAAACGTTTGTGACCTTGCGTGGAATGTTGCATTAGTATGGTACGTATACATATATTGACGTATATTGACGAGATATACAAAAATTACTTAAAACATTTACTTTTAGATATTCATGTTTAACCAAGTCAAGTAAAAAAACAGCGATAAAATGAAAAAAAAAATCCTCAGGTAAACTTGCAAATCGTGGCTTTGTTGCCTGTGGGCAACACGAAGCAAAAGTGCGAAGGTGGCTGCCTTGCGTAACTTATATGGATCACTGTAAAATGTCAATAATATCTGCGCATACGATGATAGCCTTAAGTAAAACGGTCATCTTTCGTTGAATATTAATGGCAAGAGAGAAACAGATCCATTTTTTTCGCCGTTCCGCCATTCTCGGTATTCGCGTATTTGCGCACCAAACTTATTTTTTCTCGATAACTTCAGTACTTTTCACTAGATGCGTTGTATAGTTTCGATCTTCAAGACTGTTGCCACACTGCTATATTAATAAAGTGATAAAAACGAAACTGTTAAAGAAACACAATTATTATTTGGTTTGTTGCCTGCAGGCAACATTCGTCAACAAAGGGTATTATTTTCATTTCACACGGGACATATCGCTTCGTTTTGTCACGGTTCGGTAAGATATACAAAATTGAGAAACGTTAAAACGATTTTTTTTTTTCGCCTCCTAGTTCTTAAAATAGCTTTCCCTGTTCATTCACCGTGCGACATTTTGGAAGGGTTACCTTGTTGCATGCCCACCTTGAAGAAACAACATGAAATTGGGGGTTTCCAACCAAAACAAGAAACTACATTTATTAGTATAACAGGAATGGTTTGTTAGTATTAATTTACAACGATGCCATGGTGTTTACCTCCACGTCTCCGTACTCCCGGTACGTCTCCCTATCGTTCCGTGGGCGTGCCCCCCTTTTATAGTCTCTCGCGCCTATTCTTCATGCGCTGTTGCGCGCTTGGGACTTTGTGTCGACTTTGGGCGGTCTGTAGCGGCCCCTGGGTGCGGTGGTAAACCCTTGTCCCCCCCCCCCACCATGCACGTGCACGTAGACGTGCGCGTACACGAGATGGTTTTTGCAAGAAAATAATTATACCTAGGCAGTACAGTTCTTCTGGGCGAAATGGGGTTCTTGTCTGAAAATCTAGGGCCTAAGAAAGCCCGAAAAAGCCCAGGTAGAGTCGAAGTAGGCCAGAGTCTAAAGGCCCGTTCACACTCTTGCGACCTCTTAAACCTGGGTTCCTTAAAACTTCTTAAACCAGAAAACACACTGGCGCCATCTATTGGGGAGCAGTGTAAACTCGGCGGTCCGGCATATTTTTTTTTTATTTCTCGCGCATTATCATTTCTTTTTTTGGCTCGGAAAACTTTTGTCAATGTTATAAACGAGCCTTTCTATGGGCATTACGCACATTTGACTTCGGAAATCCCGCAAAACTTTCGCTCTTGTGAAATGCAGTTCCAGGGTCACCGCATAGATGGCGCCACAATGCCAGTGTGTTCCCTCATTCTAAAAACATTTAAGAAGTTTTAAGAGATCTCGTCTCTCTCAGTCGTAGTCGGTCGCAAGAGTGTGAACAGGCCTTAAGTATCTTTGCCCTAATTCGTCAAACAAGTGCCAAGGTTAGGCTTCACTGCTGTGGTAGTTTGGCTGCTATCTGGCATCTTTGGGCCGAAATTCCCAAACAAGTGCCAAAGATGGGCTTCACTTCTGCTGTTCTGTTTTCATGCAGCAACTTGGGACCTAAAGTGCCAAACAAGTGCCAGCTTCAGTCTTCACTGACGGTTTTTCGGTTCATACGTGGCACTTTTGCCTCAAGTCTGGCACTTTGGTAATACTATGATTGCACCAAAGAAACGCCACAGAAACACCGAAAAGAAGGACTCTGGCACATAACTAACGCCATGGAGCAAAACCGTATTGGGCCCAAGCTAGGCCCCAAGGATTGTCAAGCCTTTGCCAAGCTGGTGTTTCTTGGGCGTGCTACCTGTGTAGAATGATCACTTTTGTTTAAAGGGCAACTCCGGTCTATACTTTTGATTCTGGGATTATGACTGTTTTTAGCGCAGTCAGCATCCCTGAATTGCAAGGTGTAATTTTTTTTCTCGTTATTGTGCGTAGTCTTAAAGATATCGACGCCTCAAAGTTTTGTTTGGGGCGCGGCCAACAAAACCGAAAGCAGCGGCTCGCTGCGGGTCGCATTTTTATTATCGGCATTACTTGAGAATGCGGCGTCCCCCGGACGTAATATATTGGCTGGGGTCGTATTTTGTGTCACTACAACGATACCAGTAATTTATTTCATTTCGAGTTTTGGCCGGAGTTGCCCTTTAATCTCGTGTAGTGTGTGCCGAATTCATAGTGAGAGCCCATTTCCGAAATTATCAAAAGCTACCTGTTCGCGATGCAGATTCTACTTAGAATCTGCATGGCCACAGATGATGAAACATAAAATGTGCTAAAACGTGGTATTAAGCTTCAAAACTACCCCCCCCCCCCTCCTCTATAATCTAAAGAGTGAGACACGTAGAAATAAAGTAACGGAGAAGCCACCCCCCCCCCCCCCCCCCCGGCTTAACCAGCTCGCCTGCATTCTTTCGCTTTTTGCAAAACGCCCCTCCCCGGTAATCCTCATCAACAATCACTTTCGGCAATAGGGTGGATTAACATAGTAGTTAAATGAATAGAAGACATCTTGCGGCCCAACGCCAAGTTCTATTTCGTGGTAACTTTAAGCTTAACTTTAAAGGCGTCAGCGTCTTTAATAATTTCTCAACAGATGTAGACGAACTAACACAGTAGCGAAGATCAACACCGACCGTGGAAAATTACTTTTCTGACTTTGGTGATCCAGTACACTGGGTACTTCAGACCCTCGAAATATATTGATAGAAGAATATTAAACGGACAGGGCTGAAACAGTGTTTCTTGTGACAGTATAAAAACTAAAAAATAGCGATTTCAATTATTATATTTTGTATTGTTATCGTCTTTCAGTTGCTTTCTTCTTACTTCAACAGAAGTAGTCAAAGCAAATTGCCTTACGGTGTGGTGTTTAGATACCGTATACGGTAAACTTCCGGCCTGTGAAGCTGCACGTGGTTTCGTGGCTGTCACCGTAAAATCACTGTAATTTCGCTTGAAATTTCGCAGATTCAGCGCTTGTAACAAGAGAATCTTGAACTCCGTGCAGTACCAAGCATTCGGAAATGGACCACGGCGCTGCATGGGCATGCGTTTTGCTCAGCTGGAATTGAAGATCGCATTTGCCAAGATCTTGGCAAACTACAGCTTGTTTCTCGACGAGAGGCACATTGGGGTAAGTGAAATACTGGTTTATTTCGTGACTGGATCTGCTGTACAGACCAATGGGTTTGTTTAGCCTTGTGTTTCCGTAAAAATAAACGCCTCAGAAATTCAAAATGCTACGCATATTCCTTTTTCCTAATTCAGCGAGAAATAGCAAGCTCCTCGGTGATACAAAAGTATATTTCTTAATTTATTTATTCTTGAATTATAAAATCCCCCCCCCCCCCCCCCCCGAAAAAAAAAAAAAGGAAACTGGGGTTTACGCATAGAGTTACAATTCACGACTTGAGAAACCGACTAGTGCGATACACTTTATGATAATTCCTAGAAGCCTTAGTTCAATATTCCCGAGATAAGGAAATTGATAAAATCTATTCTCAAGCGATCTCAAACTTCACCTTATTAATTTTGTCTGTGTGTGCAATTTACAGGAGGATCAACTTAAACTGAAGACTTCGTTCATCTTTGCCAATCCTCGCGATGGTGTTTGGATCAAGCTCAAGAAGGTTTCCCGCCAGTCTTGCGACAACAAAGCATCGTGACGTCGCCGTGCATGAATCTCGAATAAACGAAAAATCATTTGGCTGTGTCGTCGACGCTTTAGATGTAAATTAACTTCCGATAGCAAATATAATTTTAGGCTCAAATTGTGCCGTCCCGCAGATTTCTGGAGCGGTAAGATTTACGTTGGTGCAAAGTGCAAATCGGAACCATTTCTCACTACGTTTACAGACGCCACCTCCTTAGCTTTGAACAGGAGATCACCAATTTTTTGTTTTATTTTTTCCAGGAGTGTGAAGATTAAAATCAAAATTACTTTTGTGGGGAAAAGTGTTTTTTTAGGACCTCCAATTTAAGCGATCATGTTTGATGCTCGTCAAAACCCTGTATTGGCAAGAGAAAAAAACAAACAAAAAACACTGCAGTGTCATGTTTGTGCTTAATTGCATGCACCCTATACTGCGCGGTGCAATGAGTACGAACACAAGATTGGCGCAGTTTTGTATTTCGCTCAGGCAATGTTTTGACGAATTAAAAATTTTCTTACACAAATTGGTTCCCAAGAGGATTACATTTTACCGACATAGTAGTTCAGCAGTATCTTAGTTTTGTCTTAACAAAAAAAAATTAAAATTAATTGTTATCGTCCATTGTGCTGCGCCCTGTACCAGCCAATGATCGACTCGTTTCATACGTCATGCAGCGAGTGGACTTTCAGGACTGCGTTGAAAAGCGGTTAGCACACCGCCAACAGCCCCTTCACCTACACTAGGCCTATCAGTTCTGGGCATGTCATTGAGACTGTCAGTCTCTTCATTCTTTGCGTACCGCGTTTTGATACTTTGAACATCTGGCGGAGTTTGATACAGAGAATTCACATTATGTATCTTCTAAAGAAATTGCGATGGCAGACACGAATGGTCTCCAGTAGCGTCGGAAGTGTTTGGGAGATGTGAAAGAAGAGAATCGCCCCTCTCTCCTAACTGTTTACTAGAAACAGGTACTTTACTAAGGACAATGCATTCTACTCCCCTAGTTTTCATTAGACAACACACCTACAGCACCTACTCCTTCCCTAGCGGTGGAGACGCCCCGCGTCCGAGAACGCATGCGCATTGAGCGATCCAGGCTGTCGCTCAGTCTCGCGACGCCGAGGGAGATGGTTACCAAAGCCTTACCGAGACACGGACACCGTCGAGACTAGAGATGCCGCGAACGTTTTGCGAAGTTGAGGCCCAAGACCAAGGGATTCGAAAGGTTCGCCACGAAACATCGAACGTTTTACATAAAATAAAAGATTTTCGCAATTTCGATTTTTTGGCGCCGAGAAATTCGATTGTTTTCAAACTTCCGATTTTTACGCTAAGAAATTTAACGATTTTCAAACTTTGGAATCTGCTAAGTTTAAAAGTTCTAGAAACTTGGAACTTCTGAACAAAAGTTTGACAAAGTTCGAACCAAGTTCACCCCATAGGTTTGCGGCAACAAATATAAATAACACAAGATGTCAATGTGTGAAGTGGCGTTGAAATTGCACTAGAGTCGTACTTAGCTGATTGTGCCACAAACGACTCGCTTGTAAAGCGCCGAATGACCACTTCGGGGAGCCCTCGGCCCCCAAAGTGGTCATTACCTCACACCTTTTTCTACCGACTTCCCCACAGAGCCTCTCCCGCGCACAACCCTGCAGGTTGCCCCGGGGTAACCTGTGGGCCCACAGATCCATGATTTGCAGGATTGAAATTCAACCAAGTCGCTTCGCTGGAAGCGTCCTTCATAGCTCACTTAAGGCCAGCTGAACTAGAAAAAGCATAAACATAAAGACCATTCACACCGCTGGTGTGAATGGTCTTTTCTTTATGTGTATGCTTTTTGTGTGTGATGTGAATCAAGGAAAGGCACGTGCGATGCGCGACGCCGATGCGCTACAGCGAACGCTTAATCGGTGCTTATTTACTTCATTATCATTAGCGACCCGCTGCATTTTAGAGCGGCCATTATCTATATTCGGCAAAGAAGTAAAGTTCCAGGCAGCGGCAGTATGATTAGCCCGATATCAACCGGTCGTTGCCTGATCAGCTGTATTTCAGGGCGCCGGGTGGTTCCCTAACTTAGTCTGGTTGCATTCTCGTCAAGCTTGACTTGTGCCGGGTGCAGTGCCAGTGTTTTCTCCATCCCACGGGTTCTCCCGCCGAAAATAAACGCCCAGAGCAACTAAACCTTTTCAGGAAGCCTGGATGCCTTGGTGTGCAAGTGTTGTCTTGTAAATTTACTTGTCTTACGCCAGCATTGAATTTAGGCAACGTTTGATCGGATTGCTACTAGTCTGCAAATATGTAGGAAGTACGTTCACTTGACCGCCTCAGGACTTTTCGATCAACCGTTCAACAAGTTCAACGCTTGTTTTATGGGTCACGACAAATAACGAGAAATACACCTTCTACCTGAGGTGGAAGGAGTATATTCACGGCATAAGAGAAATGGGCAACGTTTTCAGTGAAATTTGTAGCACATTTCGTGATTTTTTTAGATTAATTCAGGAAGTCTTAGTTTGAAACTGCAGAATTTTATCTTGATCCGTGAAATTCAAACTTCGAACTTATAATCAAAACTTTCCAACTTTCCAAACTTCAACCTCGAATAAATTCAAAATATTCAAATTTTTCTACCTTGAATCTAAATTAAATTCGAAATTATTGCATTTGTTGCACGACCTGTCAAAAAAGTCGAAATCTTCGAACTCGGACTTTCAGAAACCTTGACCTTATCAAATTATTTACATTCTAAACGCAGCGGGGCTCTAAAGTTGCGAAATTTTCGAATTCGGAATTTACCAAGTTTAAAACTTTTCGAAACCTTTCGAACTCGAACATCGGGAGGTTCGCGGCATCCCTAATCGAGATATCTGTTTGGACTTGCGCTCGGGGAATTTCCCGTCGATAGATGGCGCCAGCCACACATCCCAATTCAAAGGGCAAAACTCAGAGGCCGCGGCGCATCCAGCCGTTCCAACAACGCAAAACCTGTCCACGTCGAGGCATCATTTTAGCGGTGTGAGACGTATACGCATTCCCTTCTAAGTGCCTTTCCGAAGTGTCTTTGGGGGGTCGATTCCCGCCCTCCTCCCCACCGCTTATTCCAACGCTCCTGGTGGTCTCCGTCTACAATGGAGTAACTAAGAACGTGTCGATGGTATGCAAGAAAACGACGAGTGAACAAACGCACGGTAGAACGTTGCAAAATATCCGCCCGCACAGAGAAACATATAACACTTGGCGCCAACTTGTTCGCTGCCAACTGGCGTGAGCTAACAGCATGACACAAGGACTGTTACATCGGCCACCGTGCGTGGCCCATTCTCGAGTCGACGGCAAGCCGGCTGTGTCGAGGCGAAACCGGGACGAGCTTTACCAACTGGCGGAAGGTCGCGCGTCGGAAAGACTGCCCCTAATTCTCGTGCGCGGGTCGTCAGAGCGAGAGTGACGACGACGGAAGAGACTGACTCGCAGTCAATGTCAGGAGGAGACCACAGCCGTCAAAAAGCGACAGGAACTCTCAAGGTCGAGACAGTAAAACTGTGTGTATGCTATGTTTAGGCCGCAGGAAGTAACTCATTTCCGATGGGTGTTTGGTGTCACTGCTATGGCTGAGAAGCTTAGCGAGTGCAATATGACTGCTTGGTTAGGGTCTCTAATGTGCAGCGCGCAGTGGTGATACGCGACCGCACGTCGGTAAAATACTTGTTCACATCAAAACGGGCAGGTGTGGGAACTGAGCTAAGGATCCCTGGATTCTGCAGCGCGAACTTTCGCTCTACGTGCTCCGCGATGCGATGCGCTAACACACTGTCCACCAATCCCCCTGGCCGAAACAGCTCTATTAGAATAACACGCTATATAAAAGTAAGGATTAGTAGTAAGGAGGAAACATTACAGGCCTTCAGACGGGTTTGCTAAGAACATTGGTGAAATATTGCTTCTGTTAGAATGCTTTGATGCTAAGACTTCTGCTCTTAGTTGAATAAGTGACCTAACCATTTTGGTTCTATCGATGCCAGTTGAAACAGTTATATTAATCAGTTGTTGAATTAAAATAATCCGAGCGATTCAAAAATATATTTTTTTTTCAGTTTGAATATTGTTTTTTTGGTATTTTTCAGATTCAGTGAATTTTCTTAGATTATAAGCCGCTGAAGTCAGTGTGTTGGAATAATTGATTCCAGAAATACGTGGCGCTCCCACCGTCGTCTCGGTGAAATATTAGAGTTCGATGCACGGAATGCGGAAGCTTAGCACCCACGAATAGAAGGTCGTGTCGGTTTATCAGGTTGAAGGGTTCAGAACGCAAAGAAAGCAAAACATTAATAAAGCACAATCGTGCCAACTCTGCTTTGTCTTGAAAGAAAACAAAATGAATGTCGCAGATTAAAACCATTTGTGTACTACTTATAACTTCGGAACCTTACCCAAGCATAATCCCTGCCGATCTCTGCAGACGCTCATTCAAGTGGCAGTTCTGTGACGATTTCCTCGCTATCTCAGAAAAAAAAAATAATAAAACTTTTTCGGGCATTCAGAATTAAACAAAAAAGAACGCCCGAGATCGTTTTTGTCATTTTTGCTTACTCTTTGTTTAGTGTTGATATGTCGCCAATTACGAAACGCGGCAAAAGGTAGAGCCCCAGCCAACGCTAGATGCCACTCTTGCTACTAAGTCGAGGCGAAGTCGTAAGATGTCCAATAGAAAACTTGTTTCCATTGCGGTCCTCCTGGTTTGTGCACGTAAAATGTTGTAGAAGTTGGTACAAAAAAGTACTTCCATGTAAGATTGAGTTTCCCGTTCGGAAACGTGCTGCCGGACACGTTACTAATAAAACACGGACGATGGAGCGCGTATATTTTCGATGCTGGTGCGCCACCTGGGGGGAGGCCCCTGGCGCCTCTGCGCCACCTGAAAGCCACCTGCGTTATGCGTGAGCTCTTCAAAACGGCTTAGTCTTTAGTTTGGCTAGACATTTCAGTTCGTCTGAGGGACCTCGATT